GTCATGATTAAACAATACAACAAATATCAAATCAATATCTTCAAGCATGAAGAAAAAAAGTGTGGAAAACTGATTTGCCGTACTGACGGATGGACGGAGTGCAAACCTAAAGTCCCCTTCGACTTTGTCGGTAGGGGTCCAGGGCTAATAATAATCATGATGAAAATTTATATGCGCATCTTTTACTAAAGTATGAAAATTTACAACCTTTAATTAAATTTTTTATTTGCTATGAATAAAAGCATAATGTGTTCATAATGCAAGTAAAAGTCCGGCACAAATTCCCCATGTCTGTATAATGCAGGCAGGAGTGGCTTCAGTCATTTGTGAAAGGAATGGTTAGGACTTAATAAAACTTGATATTTGGGCAGTGAATGCATTAAAAAAGTAGTCAAATTTCAAATTAACCTGAGTTAAGTAAAAGTTATAGAGAATACAGACATAAAGAGGTATACAGTAAAACCTAAAAAAATTCCTATAATCTTAAATGATTTGGTTCATGCTTACTAAAAAAATTAGCTAATTTCCTAATTTTAAACATGTTAAAGGGGCATAATTCTTGAACAACAAAAGTTAAATGGGTCAAACTCAATCTTTATCTGTAAATAGTGGTCCCTTACATTTCCACATGGACTAGAGACAGTGCTATAGTGTAACTTTTATTTGGGAAACAATGTCTCTTCATTGATGTTTATAGGGCTTTTTACATAATTTTAAGCATCTTTAATCAGAACTTATCTGTAATTTAAAGTGTCTTAGGGGTGAATATTAAAACATTATATGAAACTGTATTTATTTTTGTATTTAATTGTGCCAAAATTTGTCTCAAAATGATGAAACATCTATGTAAATCTATCAAGCAGGTGCAAGAAAATTTCAAATACACCTTAGATCTAATCAGTTTTGATCCTAGAAATTGAAAGTGCATAAACCATCAGAATCTATAAGCAATTTTAAATTGTAACTAAAACTGAAAGAACTTTTTTGCAATAATAAAAGGTCCAATAAGTATTTACTTTAAATTTTAAAACTTGTTTCAAACAATTTATTTGGTAAGACTGGTAAAAAAACCACAAGAATTATTACTTCCCCAACTTTTGCTATATCTATGATGGCAAATAATCCATCTTAATGTATTGCATGTTTACCAAACATCAATTTGTTGAACATGTAATTACAGACAAATATTGGACTCAATTATTTGTCTTCGTTTTTACCTATTTCCTTATTTTCTAAAGATTTTCTTGAGCATGACAATACTTCCATCAGTCTATTTCTGCAGTTTCCTTGTGTACGTGCATGTATTCAAATATTACTAACTTTTGTAAATTTAAGTCAGCTTTTAAATATCTATTTTACACAAGCTAGCCTATATAAAATTAAACTGGTCATATATAACCAAATTAAAATCTTAAACTTCTTGTGGACATTCAAAAGCCTTCGGCTGTCTAATTCACTATTCAGCCAGTTATTAAACAAATGTGTAACTGTTGTACTGACTTTCAATGTACATGTGTATTCCATCTCAGAGATATCACAAGATATGTTAGTCTAACCAACAATTTGATCTTATTATAATTTACAAATATGTGTAGATTTGGGACCACGAAAAATCAGAATTCAACAAGGACTTGCAAATTAAATACTTCTTAAATATAACAAGATGACAATAAAAAGTGAAGAAAATTGATTATTTGAGTGAATTTTCTAAGTTCAAAGAGCATAACTCTTCACAAAATCGTCAGACCGGAACAAAATTTGAACTTGATCTGTAACTTGTCATGATTAAACAATACACCAAATATCAAATCAATATCTTCAAGCACGAAGTAAAAAAGTGTGGAAAGCACGAAGTAAAAAAGTGTGGAAAACTGAATTGACGGACTGACGGATGGACAGACAAACGGACGGAGTGCAAATCTTAAGTCCCCTTCGACTTCATCGGTAGGTGACTAAAACAAGAGGCTCTCAAGAGCCTGAATCGCTCACCTGTATTTCAGAGGAGAAGATTTTTAAATGTTAGCAAACTTGATGAACAAATTGTGTAAAATTGTCTTTAAAGGGCAATAACTCCTTAAGGGGTCAATTGACAATTTTGGTCATATTAACTTTTTTGTAGATCTTACTTTGCTGAACATTATTGCTGCTTACAGTTTATATATATCTATAATAATATTCCAAATAATAACAAAAAACTGCAAAATTTTGTTAAAACTACCAATTCGGTGACAGCAACCCAACAATGGGTTGTTCGATTCGTCTGAAAATTTCAGGGCCGATAGATCTTGACCAATTAAACAATTTTACCCCATGTCACATTTGCTCTAAAAGATTTAGTTTTTGAGATATAAGCCAATAAAATGCTTCGCTGGGCGCAGCTTGATACGACCGCAGAGGTCGAACCCTGAACAGTTGGGGCAAGTATGGACACAACATTCAAGCTTGATACAGCTCTGAATTTGGATTGTGATTAAATATTTGACACAGCATAGGTTTCTGACACAGAAAGAATGTGGTCTAAGAACTTCAATTTTTTTAATTTACCTATTATGGTCCAATGTCCAAAATCAAAATACATGGTTAGATTCAGCATATCAAAGAACCCCATATATTCAATTTTTGTTGAAATCAAACAAAGTTTAATTTTGGACCCCAACTTGGACAAACTTGAAAACTGGTCCCATAATCAAAAATCTAAACACATGTTTAGATTCAGCATATCAAAGTACCCGAAGAATTCAATTTTTGTTAAAATCAAACTAAGTTTAATTTTGGACCCTTTGGACCTTAATGTAGACAAATTTAAAAAACGGGACCCTAAATTAAAAATCTAAAATCACAGTTAGATTTGGCATATCAAAGAACCCCAATAATTCAATTTTTGATGAAATCAAACAAAGTTTAATTTTGGACCCTTTTGACCTCAATATGAACCAATTTGATAGCGGGCCCACAAATAAAAAATCTAAATACATGGTAAGATTCAGCATATCAAAGAACCCCATATATTCAATTTTTGTTGAAATCAAACGAAGTTTAATTTTGGACCCCAATTTGGACCAACTTGAAAACTGGGCCAAAAATCTAAAATCTAAATACATGTTTAGATTCAGCATATCAAAGAACCCCATATATTCAATTTTTGTTGAAATCAAACAAAGTTTAATTTTGGACCCTTTGGACCTCAATGTGGACCAATTTAAAAACGGGGCCCAAAATCCAAAAACTTAATACACGGTTAGATTCAGCATATTAAAGAACCCCATGAATTCAAGAATAAAACCCCATTGAAATTGATCAAGAAATAAGCAATTTATACGAAGTATCTTCTTTTGCACAATACTGTGCAATTGAATATTTCTTGCTATTGCGCAATACTGTACAATTGACAATTTCTTGCTATTGCGCAATATTGTGCTATTGGATATTTCTTGCTATTGCGCAATACTGTTAAATTGAAGATTTCTTGCTATTGCGCAATACTGTGCAATTGAAGATTTCTTGCTATTGTGCAATACTGTGCAATTGAAAATTTCTTGCTATTGCACAATACTTATTATATAATAATTTACACATCCTGTTTGGTGTGTATCTCCTACCATATCATTATTATTTGCTTTTAAATATAAATCAGAAATAACCAACTTAAAATGGAAAATTTTAAAAGAAAAAAAAAAGGAAAAAAAGAAAAAAAAAAAAAAAAAAAAATCCCCCCCCCAATTTTTTGAACCCCCTTATGATTCATCACCCCCAAACTCAATCCCAGCCTTCCCTTTGTGGTATGGTACCTTGCAGTACAATTTCAGAGAGATCCATACACTTGAACACAAGTTATTGTCTGGAAACTAGAAAAATGCTTATTTTTGGCCCCTTTTTGGCCCCCAATTCCTAAACGTTTCGGGCAATTACCCCCAAACTCAATTCCAGCTTTCCCTTTGTGATATGGAACCTTGTAGTACAATTTCAGAAATATCCAAACACTTACACACAAGTTATTGTCATGAAACTAGAAAAATGCTTGTTTTTTGCCCCTTTTTTGGCCCCTAATTCCTAAAATTTTGAGGCAATTACCCCCAAAATCAATTACAGCCTTCCCTTTGTGATATGGAACCTTGTGGTACATGTCAGAGAGATCCATACACTTACACACAAGTTATTGTCTGAAAGTTACAAAAATGCTTATTTTTGGCCCCTTTTTGGCCCCTAATTCCTTAACTGTTGGTACCATAACCCCCAAAATCAATCCCAACCTTCCTTTTGTGGTATTGAACCTTATGGTGAAATTTCATGGAGATCCATTCACTTAAACTAAAGTTAGAGTGCGAAAACCAATGTGTCTTCGGACGACGCCGGACGACGCCGGACGACGACGACGACGACGACGACAACGACGACGACGACGACGACGACGCCAACGTCATACCAATATACGACCAAAAAATTTTTAATTTTTGCGGTCGTATAAAAACCAAATGTAGAAAAAAAATTGCCAAGCAAACATTTTTTTTTAATATCTTTGCTTATAAAATATTACTCTCAAATTCTGCAAATATTTATCCAAACAATTTGTCTGACAGGAGCTGAAGTGGATTTTGAGAAAATTAGATAAGAAATTTGATCAATTTTTCTTTAATTTTGCTTTGATCTTTTTGTGAGATAATTTTCCATCTCAAGCGACTCTGCTGATAATGTTTTTTTCTTAAACGAGTAGAATGAGAACAAGATGACATAATAAACCAACATCATTACCTAGGAAAATAGCAAAAAACAGATTATCTATGATCTCTAAACTTGAAGAAGTTTCTTGGTTGCAACTCATTTCAGGGCTATTGTTTTTCAATGAGATTTAGTCGAGAAACTCCCTCTCCTTTTTAAAACCATAGATAATCTGTAAATATACAGATGGACACATTAATAATGATGAGATCTCATTGGTACTTTTTATTGGAATGAGTCTAAAACAATTTGAATTAAACTGAGACGACATGTCTATGACTTACCCGTGTGGTACAACCCATGGGTTGATACTGACAGGGAACTATTACTCTCTGACAGTCAAATTCTTCATGGCTTTTAATCTGTAACAGAATTAATTCAAATAATTAACTCAAGTTAATTTTAAAAAAGTATAAATTGTTATTGGAAGTATTGATTGAATCCAACAATACACAACTTGACATTTTCATTCATACTGACATTCAAGATGTTCCAATATAATAGGACAAAGTCTACAAACATGTCTGTAATACAGGAATTACTTTGACAAAATGGATAAAATTTTACAAGCTTCAATTATCTTTTTTGCAATTTAAAGATAGAATATCGGATCTCAAATAATGCTATATGCAAGAGCAATTGAAAAAAAATACAACTACAAAATAAAAAGTAATACAGATAGCAGAGAGTAGCAAGTTGCACACATCATTCTATATTTTCTCTCTAAGATTAACCTCAGTTTTATCAAAATGTAACTTTGGACACAAATGTTAGAAACAATGGTAGCAAGTGGAAATTTGAAAGTATCAACAAAAAGTAAAAGAAGTATGTGTCTGAGGACACGAATGCCACCGCTGAAGCTTGCTTTTCTAACGAAAATAGGACGGACAGACGGACAGTCAAGGGTTACACTTAATGCCCCCTTCGCCTTGCTGCTTGGGCATAAAAATAAGTGGCTGTGTGACATATGTGATTGCATTTTGAAAACCATATCAATTACATAATCATTACTTTACAAACTAGAAAAAATTTCATCATCAACTGGTATATTCAAATTCCAAAGTATCATAAAACAGAAGTGATTGAACTGCATCTGTAGCTAGAGGTTCAAATGAGCATCTGGTAAAAATATGCCATATTGATATAAAAAAGATTTCAATTAATTTTTATAGATCTTTTCTTTGCAGTTTACAGTTTCTGTCTATCGGTTTTAGTTTTACATTGATTGATTGATTGATTGATTGTTGTTGTTAATGCTACTTTCAGCTAGGTTGGCTATATCATGGGGGCCAAGTTTTCTTGGTTGAGAATGCTAGAGTACCCAAAGAACAGCATTGACTTTTGGCAGGAAAACAGGCAATCCTAGTCAATTAAGATTCGAGTCAAACACAATTGCCACGAGTGGGATTAGAACTTAAAACCTCAGTGTTGATAGACTAGTGATGAATTAATAAGACCAATCTGCCACCAAGGCCCCCTAGTTTTATAGATAATGAGCAAAAAATGCTAAAAATTGTCGATTTTTGGGGCAATAACTACTATGATGGGCCAATTTATCATTTTAATCAGTAGATTGGTTAGTATTTTTGTAAATCTTGTAGTATTGATCACTTTGCCTCTACAGTTTCTTTTATTTATTATAGTTTTCAGAATATTATACAATAATCTGCTTTGCTGAGCGCAGCTGGATACGCCCGCAGAGGCCCAACCCTGAACAGTTGGGGCAAAAATGGACACAATATTCAAGCTTGATACAGGTCTGAATTTGGATTGTATTAAATATTTGACATATTATAGGTTTCTGAATAAATGTAGTCAAAGAACTTGAAATTGGTTATATGAATTGAATTTATATTCAATTAAAGATTTCTTGCTGTTGTGCAATACAGTGTGTTGTTGCGCAATACTTAATAAATCTGTTGTCAGACTATAAACAAATAAAGTTCAATTAATTCTCAATGTCATATTAGAAATTTATGAAAAGGGAGCTTACATCAATAGATATAAACAATTCACCAAAGTTTCATACGAACTGCTGAAAGCATTTTTGATTTTTTGTCCGAAAACTGGAACATCCCCCTTTTTTTAAGAATAAAACCCTGTAACTCGGAAACGTAAAATCTAAAATATATAAAAAATCAAAAGGGAGCTCATGTCAATAGATATAAACAATTCACCACAATTTCTTGCAAGTTGGTGAAAGCATTCTTGAGTTATTGTCCGAATACTGGAAAATCACCCTTTTTTAATGAATAAAACCCCATAACTCGGAAACGTAAAATCCAAAATTTATAAAAAACGAAAGGGAGCTCATGTCAATAGATATAAACAATTCACCAAAGTTTTATGCAAATTGGTTAAAGCGTTTATGAGTTAATGTCCGACATGTTGACAACGGACGGACAGACGGACAACAGTATACCATAATACGCCCCGTAAACGGGCGTATAAAAATGCTACAATTCATCAAAAACTGTCATCTACGGGGTCAATTTATGGTTTCAGTCATATTGGTATTTTTTAGACCTCAAATTGCTGATAATTTTTTCTATTAACAGTTTCTGCATATCTTTTATACTTTTCAGGATAATAGGCAAACATTTAGAAATTGGTAAAAAATAGTAAGTAGATCTTGACATTCTGAACAAAAAAGAAGAATGAGTCTGAGGACACAAATGCCCCCGCTCAAGCTTCAAACAAACGAAAATGGGACGGACGGACCGGAAGACGGAAAGACGAAAGGACTGAAAGATGGAAGGACAGACGGTCAATGGTAACACTTAATGCCCCTGTCGCCTACGGCTGGGGCATGATAAAAATAAATGGGAAATGTGTCCATGGGACACAGATGATGCCCCTCTTGCATATAACGATATAAAGGGCCATAACTCAAGAACTGTAAAAGTAACACTACCCAAATTTGAACTTGAACTGAGTTTTGTGATAATAAGCATTGTTCATAAGTTTCATAATATTTAGTTGACGTAAACTTAAATTAGAGAACAGAAACAAATATTTCAGCAATTTTGAAATTTGTAAAGGAACATAACTCTAGAACGGTAAAAGTGACGCCAACAAAATTCAAACTTGATCTGTGCATTGTGGTAATTAGCATTGTGCATAAGTTTCATATCATTTGGTTGAGGCATTCTAAAGTTAGAGAACAAAAACTAATATTTCAGCAATTTTTCCATTTGTAAAGGGGCATAACTTTAGAATGGTGAAAGTGACACCACCAAAATTCAAACCTGATTTGTGTTTTGTGGTAATAAACATTGTGGATAAGTTTCATAACATTTGGTTGAGGCAAACTCAAGTTAGAGAACAGAAACAAAAAAATCAGCAAATTTTTTCATTTGTAAAGGGGCATAACTCTAGAACGGTAAAAGTGATGCCACCAAAATTCAAACTTGATCTGTGTTTTGTGGTAATAAACATTGTGGATAAGTTTCATAACATTTGGTTGAGGCAAGCTAAAGTAAGAGAACAGAAACGAAAAATTCAGCAATTTTTCCATTTGTAAAGGGGCATAACTCTCGAACAGTAAAAGTGATGCCACCAAAATTCAAACTCGGTCTGTGTTTTGTGGTAATAAGCATTGTGGATAAGTTTCATAACATTTGGTTGAGGCAAACTAAAGTTAGAGAACGGAAACCAATTTTGGGACGTACTGACGGATGTACGGCTGTACAGACGTACAGACGGACACTTGGTAAAACTTAATGCCCCCTCCACTACGGCAGGGCATAAAAATAGAATATGCAGACACTGAAACCAATATTCCTAATAATACAGTAAAGTAAAAGTGGCACTTTTATTTGTAAAACTGTCAATTTTTTACAAAACCTGCAACTGTGCAAATGGTTAAAATACATACATTTAGACAGACCTTACCTAATAAATATATAGAATTTTAAGAAAATAAGTAATACTTATATTCCTTTGATATAATATTATACAATGTGGACATTGTTTGAACTTTCAAATAAGATACATTGTAAGCTTTTACTTATATATTTCAGCCTGTAGATATCAAGAAGGTATCATGTATAGTTGCTGAGAAAAATTTGATGAAAATTTCATTTATATGTGCATGACATTTTAAAGATATATATTTTCAGCAAACAGGAAGTACAACATGGAAGGAACTAAATAAATGTCACACAGTACACCATAAAGAGATGAAGCTTTGTAGCATATATTAAGATGCCATCATATGTATTTGCAAAGAAAAATGTGACAGAAATGTTTCAGTTCAGACATACAGAAGCACAGATAGACAGGGGTTAACCAGCAGAGTAGCCCTTCCTTTGGAGCGGTGGTATGTTACATACTTGTTAAGAGCTTTTCCAGATTGATATGCATGGGGAGGGGGTGGGGTTGAAAGCACTTTTTTTTTTATCCCAACCACCCATAATATAATATTTTCATTACACTTTTAATTCTTAAAAAGTTCTTAAGAAAATAACACCACCCACAATTTATTAATTTGATTCCTCCCCCTCCCCCTTTCCCCTGCCCCCTCCCCCACATGCATTTAAATCTGGAACAACCCTAAGTATTTCAATGAGAAATTATTTTCACAAACTTTAAAAATGAATTCTTTATTGATAAAAAACAAGCGACCTACCTGAATTTAGAATATTTTCATTTTAATCATAAATTGTTGATATTCATATTAAACGCACATTGAGCTTTCAGCTATCAAATATCAAGAAACCACTCCTTTCAATTGAGTTTTGTCACTATTGTAAGAATCGTATTTCTAACATATAATAGGAAGATCAAATTTAGGTACTTCTGTTTATTAAAATTCAGGAAGTGTTTTTTATGATTTAAACATTTATCAACACCGTATTATATCACAGTTCGATTAACATTATTTGAATAGACTTTAATGGTCATTAAAAATTCAATAGGTTGTTAAAATGTTTGAGATGTAATGTTTTGATATAACCTATATATACAAGAATGCACTCTTGTATGTTACCTAATTATTATAATTTGTCAATATGATAAGACCTTCCTGTATAGCAAGTTTTTTGTGTGTTGTTGTTTTATTTATACATTTAAAACTCCAATCTAGTCATATCAGATGAAAATTTGGGGAGAACATTGAAATGCATAAATGTAGATGGAAGAAAGATAGAAATATTTTTTGCCCAAATTCGAAATGAAATAACTAAATTTAATGTAAAGGACAAAGGATGTATAAATTATCTATCACTTGCTTTTTACAACAAAAGTAGCAGCAGAGAAAAACTATCCACCTTAGAAGGATGTAAACAACTATAGGTCACAGTACTGTCTTGAATGAGGAGCAAAACCCATACTGGGTGATAAGTCACAGTACTGTCTTGAATGAGGTGCAAAATCCATACTGTGTGATAAGTCACAGTACTGTCTTGAATGAGGAGCAAAACCCATACTGGGTGATAAGTCACAGTACTGTCTTGAATGAGGAGCAAATCCCAGACTGTGTGATAAGTCACAGTACTGTCTTAAAAGAGGAGCAAAACCCATACTGTATGATAAGTCACAGTACTGTCTTGAAAGAGGAGCAAAACCCATACTGTGTGATAAGTCACAGTACTGTCTTAAAAGAGGAGCAAAACCCATACTGTGTGATAAGTCACAGTACTGTCTTAAATGAGGAGCAAAACCCATACTGTGTGATAAGTCACAGTACTGTCTTGAAAGAGGAGCAAAACCCATACTGTGTGATAAGTCACATTACTGTCTTAAATGAGGAGCAAAACCCATACTGTGTGATAAGTCAAAGTACTGTCTTGAAAGAGGAGCAAAACCCATACTGTGTGATAAGTCACAGTACTGTCTTGAAAGAGGAGCAAAACCCATACTGTGTGATAAGTCACAGTACTGTCTTAAATGAGGAGCAAAACCCATACTGTGTGATAAGTCACAGTACTGTCTTGAAAGAGGAGCAAAACCCATACTGTGTGATAAGTCACAGTACTGGTTAAATGGGGAGCAAAACCCATACTGTGTGATAAGTCACAGTACTGTCTTAAATGAGGAGCAAAACCCATACCGGGTGATAAGTCACAGTACTGTCTTAAATGAGGAGCAAAACTCATACTGGGTGATAAGTCACAGTACTGTCTTGAATGAGATTCAAAACCCATACTGTGTGATAAGTCACAGTACTGTCTTGAAAGAGGAGAAAAACCCATACTGTGTGATAAGTCACAGTACTGTCTTAAATGAGGAGCAAAACCCATACTGGGTGATAAGTCACAGTACTGTCTTAAATCATACTGTGTGATAAGTCACAGTACTGTCTTGAATAAGGAGCAAAACCCATACTGTGTGATAAGTCACAGTACTGTCTTGAATGAGGAGCAAACCCCATACTGATGATAAGTCACAGTACTGTCTTAAATGAGGAGCAAAACCCATACTGTGTGATAAGTCACAGTACTGTCTTGAATGAGGAGCAAAACCCATACTGTGTGATAAGTCACAGTACTGTCTTGAATGAGAAGCAAAACCCATACTGGGTGATAAGTCACAGTACTGTCTTGAATGAGGAGCAAAACCCATACTGGGTATTAAGTCACAGTACTGTCTTGAATGAGGAGCAAACTCCATACTGTGTGATAAGTCACAGTACTGTCTTGAATGAGGAGCAAACCCCATCCTGGGTGATAAGTCACAGTACTGTCTTGAATGAGGAGCAAAACCCATAATGTGTGATAAGTCACAGTACTGTCTTGAAAGAACCCATACTGGGTGATAAGTCACAGTACTGTCTTGAATGAGGAGCAAAACCCATACTGGGTGATAAGTCACAGTACTGTCTTGCATGAGGAGCAAAACCCATACTGTGTGATAAGTCACAGTACTGTCTTGCATGAGGAGCAAAACCCATACTGTTTGATAAGTCACAGTACTGTCTTGCATGAGGAGCAAAACCCATACTGTGTGATAAGTCACAGTACTGTCTTGAATGAGGAGCAAAACCCATACTGTGTGATAAGCTACTGTAAATTCAGAAATTATTGCATGCTTTTTTATTGCGATTTTTGAAGAATGGACAAAAATGCGAGACTATGTATTGTGATTTCAGGAAAATCTGCACACTGATGCATCAGATATCTGAAGGCGAGTTCTAATTATTGCGATACTCACCTTGTCACATTATTCGCAATAACAAAAACCTCGCATTAATTTCTGAATTTACAGTATATAAATCTTGGTACAATTGTTTACACTGTACATTTAACTCTGCTAGCACAGCAAATCTATGCACTGCCTTCAATAAATTCAACTCTAAGAGTATGTTTTAAACACATTTTGGACACAGCTCTATAGGTGAGTATGCTACCACAAGGCCATCTTGTCAGTTCCCTTATAATGGGCTTAGTATTGTAGATCAACTTGCCTGATTTCTCAAAAGTTCAAGCTGGCAGTATTGACACACAACTGTCACCATAGGACACTCTTTACGTAGGTGTTCCTAAAAAGTAAAAACAAAATCTCATCAGAAAAATAAAAAGCTGTTGACGGAAAGTTTATCTTACACAATAGATATAGGAAGATGTGGTATGAGTGCCAATGAGACAACTCTCCATCCAAGTAACAATTTATAAAAGTAAACCATTATAGGTCAACGTACAGCCTTCAACAGGGAGCATTAGCTCACACCGAACAGCAAGCTATAAAGGGCCCCAAAAATTACTAGTGTAAAACCATCTTCTTATAGTTCATTATGCAAATAACTAAATACCACAAATACAATTGTACAAATATGTATTCTTACCAGTCAAAATCTTCCTTATTATTTGTCTATTAATGAGGGATAATGCAACATTCAAAGCTTTTTATGGCAGTCAGTTTAAAAAAATCTATTGAGTAAAATGAGGGCCTGGTTTAGCCTGTTTTTAGCCATCAACCCTCAGTAAGAAAATAATAATTTCGATCAAATGCAAGTAGATTGAGTGCAGATGACTTTTACTTAACTTGATTGAGACTTGAACCCTACCATAATAGTGATTGACAGCTTCAGCCTTAACAGGTACTTAGACTAACCAGCCATGATGCCCCCCAGTTAACCATGTTATGTTTTATATCATATATTACAACAGGCATGCTTAAGAACATAAGATACACTGAAAATATCTTTCATGGAGTTGTCCTTAAGATTGTTACACAAAATCAATTTTGATATACACTTTCAAAATATGCAAAGACAAATATACCATCATGACTTACTTTTCAAGATATTTCCATTTTAAATTTGAATACTTAATGTAAAAAACACAAAATTTCATTTTTCAATACTTACATATAAAACACAACTTCAAAACGGAAAAAAATATTTTCATCTGTTTTTTAGCAAAGCGTTAATTTACTGGCCATTAAGGCAGCCCATAAAATTTGTCCTTGCAACTGTATCGTATGCCCTTTAAATTCTTATATTGTCAAAATCTTGGAATATTTATGCATTACAAGGTTTGTCTCTGTTGTAACCAGAGTAACTACTACCTGTTCTCTGAATGTTGTAAATATTTCGATTATGACATGTACCTGGTAACTTGTGTCTTTTTTCTGTCACAAAGTCAGTTACCCATTCTCTCTCAGTTCATTTTATCCTCCATTCTATTGATTACCTATTCTCTCTATGTTGTCATCTGTTTTATTAAATACCTGACCTGTTCATTCACCGCTGTCAGCTGTTTTATTTAATTACCTGACCTGTTCATTCACCGTTGTCAGCTGTTTTATTTAATTACCTGACCTGTTCACTCACCGCTGTCAGCTGTTTTATTTAATTACCTGACCTGTTCATTCACCGTTGTCAGCTGTTTTTTTAATTACCTGACCTGTTCATTCACCGCTGTCAGCTGTTTTATTTAATTACCTGACCTGTTCACTCACCGTTGTCATCTGTTTTATTAAATTACCTGACCTGTTCACTCACCGTTGTCATCTGTTTTATTTAATTACCTGACCTGTTCACTCACCATTGTAAGCTGTTTTTTTTAAATACCTGACCTGTTCATTCACCTCTGTCAGCTGTTTTTTTAATTACCTGACCTGTTCACTCACCGCTGTCAGCTGTTTATTTAATTACCTGTTCACTCTACGTTGTCAGCTGTTTTTTTAATTACCTGACCTGTTCACTCACCGTTGTCAGCTGTTTTATTTAATTACCTGACCTGTTCACTCACGGTTGTCAGCTGTTTTTTTAATTACCTGACCTGTTCACTCACCGCTGTCAGCTGTTTATTTAATTACCTGTTCACTCACCGTTGTCAGCTGTTTTTTTAATTACCTGACCTGTCCACTCACCGTTGTCATCTGTTTTATTAATTACCTGACCTGTTCACTCACCGTTGTCAGCTGTTTTTTTAATTACCTGACCTGTTCACTCACCGTTGTCAGCTGTTTTTTTAATTACCTGACCTGTTCACTCACCATCGTCATCTGTTTTATTAACTACCTGACCTGTTCATTTACCGTTGTCAGCTGTTTTATTTAATTACCTGTTCTCTTTCTGCTGTCACCTGATCACCACATTTACAACAGACAATTTTTCGTTTTGTACAGATCTGAGATAAATGATGAGGTAAGTCTTTACGTAGTAATATATCACTACATTCATTAGGACATGGAATTGGCACATAACCACACACTTCTAAATGTTTCTGGAAAGAGACAAAAAACATTACTTCAGAGATAACAAACTTAACTTTTTATTTGAATGCCAATTTTCAAGTATGAAAAAAAAAGAATGAAATATTTGAATTTGTGCAAAATATAAAGTTCAATATAATCCACAGTTTTACTAATATCACTGTCCTAGAGAAATGAAATTACCAATACAGCTGTTAAACAATTGAATATACGTCTGTATATCATACTAATAATATTGATTTATTTGAAAAAGATGACATTGTGTTTAGGAATACTACACCAATGTATTGGCAATGGTCAACTGTAACAGAAATTACTTTGACAGTTTCTACCGATGGACAATGACATGATTCATGATAAAATAAAATCATTGTTATTGCAAACCTAATAAGTCATGATGAACAAGGAGAGTTCTGAGATAGTTTCTGCGTCAACTTGGGAGTTAAAAAAAATCAGATCACATCATTCACATGTCATTGTTCTATGCATCTTTCACATAGGCAAATTAAGCAAATGGAATGATTTTAACAGACTTTTTCTTGAAATATTCATCTATGCTTTTCTATTTTAACCCCCTCAGTCTGGTGAAAACCTATAGCTATGATATGGTGACATTACCCAAAAGTTGATATTTCATGAAGAGAACATTTCCATGATCCCAACATTGCATAGATTTCTGATGTTATCATATATGACTTGTGTGATAAAATTTTTACTTGATAAAAGACAATCTCAGAACTAAACTGTAAAAAACTGAAACACTTATCTTAACAAATGTACTTACAGGTAATTGCTTAAGAACTTCTATCACTTTACAGCCTTCTTTGGATTTGGGACATTTAACTTGTAAATTAAGGATTTCACGTTTGGCAAAATTATCTGGAAACACTTGGTCTCTTATCACAGTTGTATTATCTACAGGACAGCGTTGTTCACCAGACTCACTGCAAATATAATTGAATCTATGTACATATACTTTCATAAAACACTACAATTTTGGTTTAAAATATTTCCTTTCAGTGTGTGATAAGCTGCCATGAAATGTTAGTAAAGTAAAATAACATCAAATCTTTGACTCCTACATTTTGTAAATGTTGGGAAGTGATATAGAGCACAGCTTTGCCCAAGATTAAGAAACAATGACATACATGTATCCAACAATTTCAAAATTATCAATGGCCACAGAATGATATTTTCAATAATTTTAAAGTGTTGGTAAATGTAAAAAATTTTGCACCAGGGTTCATTTTCGGGATTGAGTAAAACTGCACAAAAATATCTCCCATGCAAATAAGCAATATTAATGTGAATGGCACACTTATTCAGTGCAAATTTAACCTGTGCAAAAAAAATTATGTAATTTGAAAATCAACAAAATATGGAAGTTTATAGTACTGCTCTTATGTTTTTCAAAAAACTATGTAAATAACAAAGCACATTGCCAATTTTTTTTTAATCCATATAAAAACTTGGTAATGTCTTTTATAATTTTTCTACTGTGTGAAAAGCATTACATCTTTCTGCTCAAATCCTTTTAAATGTAAAGATTAATGTTGTTAAAGCTTACCATAAAGACGTGTGGGAAAATTCAATACCTACCACAAGGTGGCAGGTATATAACTAGTTTTACTTATGTCCATACCGAGGTCCATACTTCCCCATTCTGACACACAACGGTTCATCATTCTTTTAAATTTGAATTAACTTTTGGCATATATTGTTGTGAAAGGATGAGCTATCACTCAGGTAACATTTGATCATGTTTGCAGATCCGATATTTAACTGATTTTGGTAGGTAATTGTACTGATGAGTTACTGATCCAGTTTAAATTTCATTCTGGTTAATCTGTTTAATATTGATAGAATTATAGCACTTGTTAACATCTTATCTGACAGAGGCAGAGGATATTCCTGTTGTACAGAAACATCTTTTACTAATAAAATTTTCAAGGTTTTTTATACATCATGTAAGAATAGTTAATGTAAGAAAGACAACTCCTTTCAAAATATAAACGCTAAAGTAAATTGTGGAACATGAAAATTACCTTAACCACCTGTGTATACATTTATGACAAAATCTGTGTCCACAAGGTGTTTGAACTGGGTCACGTAAAATAAGTAAACAAATTGGACAGTCATATTTGTCATCTTTTAAGTTCACAAACTCAAAGTCATATCCGTCTTCCGGTTCCGTAAGAAAATTAACGTTTGATGAGTAACTTCCAGAATCTCCGTTGTTCTTTTGTTCTAATGTGTCGAACACACTGGCCATCTGACCTTGATCATCATATTTACGTTAGGAATCATAGGAAAGGTTACACAGGGACATAATACACCTTTTCTTTGTATGATGTTTCTGAAAAAACAAGAAATAGTTATAGCTGATTCTAAACTGCAGAGATGTAAATATAAAACATTTCAAACAGAAAATTAGTATAAATTGGTAGATTCTATTCATTTCATATATCTGAAGAATGAGGATACAAGTATTTATAAAGTGGGTATCTGTGAAGTTCTTTCTGCCAAAATAATGAAAAAATCAGCCTTTTTTTAGCATGTCAGAAGAACTTCCAAAGAATACATGTACATAGCAGCAGTATCTATTGTAAAAGTTTTCAGAAAGGGCCTTACATTGAAGCTGAAACTTATAGCATCAGTTAACCAGATATTCACTTTTGATAGGATCAAAGTAAAATATAACATCAGGATGTCATGGTACCCTCATGCTGTTATGTCCAAGACAGAACACATAACATGCCTTATCTCTGTGATTTGTACCACTAACACGAACAAACTGATATTCAAATCAGGAATGTGGAAATTTCCAACCCAATTTGTGTGGATTGTCCAAAGTAAATATGGTCCAGCTACTTGTCAGGCACAAGTAATTTCTGTAAAAGCACAATCAGTAGCTATAGGGACAAGTAAATATGTTCCAACTACTTCATGTAATTGTCAGGGACAAGTAATTTCTGTAAAAGCACAATCAGTAGCTATCCGGACAAGTAAATATGTTCCAACTAATTCATGTAATTGTCAGGGACAAGTAATTTCTGTAAAAGCACAATCAGTAGCTATCCAGACAAGTAAAAAAATTCTCTAGCAAGTACATCTATGTATAGTACTTGTCCTAAGAGAGTGAAGAATTTTGATATTTACACACCACACCCCTTCAAATTATACAACACAAAAACCACTACCTGCTGACATAATAGAAAAAAAATTGATCATCCCACTGAAGATTTTTACACTACATATACTCACTGTCATGACTGTAAACTTTTCTAATACAGGTATCTTTGTATACAAAGAGGTTATAACATATTACTTGCAATTCTTTTGCATGAATAATCAAATCTACTCATGTAAAAAATTAAATTCCCATTATCATAAATCTAATACTATGTCCACAATTAAAATACTATCTTAATTTACAGTCAATCAAAGTGACTTTTTTAAAGTATAGAAAGGAATACTTTTCTATTCATTCCGTGTAGTGTTAATTTTCATAAAAAAAAATATGATGTAGTAAAGCCTGATTGAAGTTGATAATGATACGGGTTAGGTCCTCGAAAGATATGGCTTAATTTAACAACAAGATAAACTGTCAACTATTGCTCACTAAATTATACACCGCTCTTGCTTTTGTATTAAAAGAAAACACACACACCAATTACATTGGGTAAAGCAAACAAGATAAAATAGATAAGGACATAGTTTAGCTTACCAATAGTAGACTTGGAACCAAATTCCAAATAGCAATGATAAGATACAAGACATTATATGTATTATATTGTATGTATGTCAAGTATATGCTTTAATTGTTGGAAAAAAAAAGAAGCAATGATTTGAAGTTACTGAGAAAAATGCAACATATGTATACATACATGTAAATGTAATGAACATACTGGCAGACAGGAGAGAGATAAGTTACAGATCTGAAAATGCATCACGTTGTAAATTTTCTCAATATGAAGTTCAGTACAAAAATTTAACAAGCTTTGACTTGAGTTGCTTAGAAAAATGCAACAACTTAATAAAAAATTTCTACATTTATTTCAAATGATGCAAAAAGGAATTAGAGAAAGTGACAAATTGAAAGATTTATCACAAGATGAAGCTTAATTGTACCAATATCACAAAGCTCTGGTTTGAAGTTGCTGCAAAAATCTTAAATACATGCATCAATGTTAAGAACATACATATATTCTGCAAACAGGAAGTAGACAAATGATGGATCTGAAAATGTGTCATACAGTAGAGCTTACAAATTGGAAGCTTGGTACCAAATATACAAAAAAAAAGAGTGTGCACTTAAACGTGTCAACTGCATTACTGATCTTGAATGAATTTTATGTTTGAAGTCATTTTACATATGTATCACATAAACTTCATATAATCAATGATAAATGAAAATGAGGTCAAGGTCAAATGAGTCCTGCCAGATAGACATGTAAACCTAACAATCATTTCATACACAAAATATAGCTGACATATAGCTGATAGTATTTGAGAAACTGACCTAATCACGAAAAATGAAAGTTTACCAATAAACCATGAAAATAGGTCCTGATGAACCCTACCAGACTGAAATGTAAAATGAAAATGAGGTCAAGGTCAAATGAGTCCTGCCAGATGGACATGTTAACCTTACAATCATTCCATACACCAAATATCATTGACGTACTTTCGAGTAAAGGACCTAATCATGAAAACCTATTAAACATTGACCAATTCAAGGAAACATGAAAATGAGATTAAGGTCAAATGAACCCTACCAAATGGACATGTTACTCTTACAACCATTACATACACTTAACAAGAATGTAGGCATTAACTAGCTAACCATAACCCCACTCGTATCAAAGTATCAATAAAGAGGAAGTAGGTGTCCGACAAATCAGAGAACACCCACAAATTACAACTCATCACATGCATGCAAAGCTGCAGACAAAGTATGAAGTCATTCTGTTCAGTATAGTACTGGAGAAATGTGTGACTTAAAATTTTCAGTTCATTTAACATCTTGAAATATTAAAGTATTGGCAAACAGGAAGTACAAAATGCAGGTGTCTGACAGATGGAATAGGATCCCAGTTACAGGATACCAGTCCAGTACCCATGAATGAAATCCCTTAATAAATCCACCATCTTTTAAATGGGATATTGTACCGAGATGAAAATTATGTAAAGATGCTTAAATTTGTAGTATATCCAAAGGGTATTCATTAAACTTTCAAATTCTGTTAAATTATAAGTGATTCTGAAATGTATAGGGTGGATGATTGTCTGAGTAAATGGTCCAGATTTTATTTTCGATTTTAACCAGGAAGTTAATAAAATTACATACCGGTACCCTAATTATACTCAAAATAGTATTGCTCTCTTAGATGCCGGTCATGACTTTTCAAGAATTCTCCAAGAAACCATGGAAGGGGCTACTTGTATGACAAAGTAGTAATTTTGCAGTCTTAACACAGGGAATAAAAAATCTGCCCCTCAATTATGATAAAATTGCATTGAAGTAATGGGGGAAATAATTGGGTCCCTGTTCCAGATCTGAAAAGTGCTCGCAAGTTGCAACTCATCACTGTCAAGGGCTGCTGACCAAATGTGAAGTCACTCTATTCAGTAGTACTGCTGAAATGTGTAATGAAAATATCTAAATTCATTTACCATATTAAAAATTGGAAATTAAAAGTTTCAGCAAACAGGAAGTAGGTGTCTGACAGATCAGAAAAGTGGCCAAATATTACAAATCATTATTAAAAGCTGCTGGCCAGATGAAGCCATATCTTTAGGTAGTAACTAGGAAAATTCTGAAGGAAATATTTGAAAGATAAACAGACAGATGAATGAAAACTTAATTTAGATCAATGACCTATGAAAAAGAGGCCTAGGTCAGATTTACCATGCCAGAGGGATATGTAGGCCATACAATCATTCCGTACACCAAATATGGTTGACCTACTGAAATAGTACAAATGAATCTGAGATACAGGCTTCACCATTGAAACTTAACCTTGATCACTGATCCATGAAATGAGGTCAAGGTCAGGTGAATCCAAATATTATTGTCCTGTTACTCATAAGTGAGAAAATTATGGGATAAAAGACTATATACAGGTTTCTTAAGCAGTTGCTGAACCATATTACAGACAATGCACATAAGGCAGACGGAAACTTCATAACAAGATGCATTTGTATATAAGATATGAAGTATCCTGGTCTTTAACTTTCTGAAATATAATGCTTTATTAAAAAATAGTTTACACAATCACCCGATTAGCCCCCATTATATGTCTTGAATTCTACTAGTATGTGACATAGCAGGTGAGACAGAAATGTAGGAAAGTCTTTTCAGTATAATTTTTAGTCTTTAAAACATGAATATCAATTTGAAGTAATTTCCTGATATTGACACGACAAGGGAAAAAAACAAAAGATAGTGCCAATTATTTTATATGAACTTTATTTTTATATAAAATATGAATGTATAACTACCAGTCACCATGGTCACAGCTACAATTATTTTTAACTTTTTGATTATACAGTTGTTAATGAGCACTTGTATCAATTGGCTCATTGAACTCTATACAACATGAAACACTTCTTCTGTTTAACCTTCTCAGTTCATCTATCAAATTGTAAAGTTTAATTGATACCAAACAAAGTTAATTTATCACCCTCAACTTGTTACATGACATTTAGGTGTCAATCTCAATAACACAGGTTAAGGGTAACCATAAAAGTTTTCCACTTTATCTAAATACAGATTTTGGAAATTCTGTTCCTATATAACTGCTTATCAAGTATACATATCTATATATCTATATGTTTATATGCATAATATTGACACATTAAGCAAAGTGGGACTACATGTATATCTTTGACTGAAGACATTGGAAATCAAGTCGCTATTATTACGAACAAAGGACAATTTATGTGAACATATTTTTGATAGAACTTCTTACTGTCATGACGGACAATTTATGTGAACATATTTTTGATAGAACTTCTTACTGTCATGACTGTTACTGAATTGTGATGGCTATCATTCAAAATGTGTTTTGATCATTTTCAGCTTGAAACAAACAAGGAAGTACCTTGCATAACTCGGTAATTTCAAAGCATTTCGTTTTTAAATCAATTTTTTCTCTCCGTCTTTATTATGCAACATTAAATGCATTTAATCAAATTAAAGGAAGACTGTACAACAATAATGTTAAATAAAAAATTGATCTTATGTCATTGCATGTTTTTAGTTTTACCTACATATAATGCAATCATCACAACCTAAAAACGATTCTGTGATCAAAATGAAACATCATGATTAAAGCTTAAAACTTATATAAC